AACTCTTACTGGACCAACAACAACACTTACTGGACGTCCGGCGCGGAAAACAATTAACGAGATAATGAGAAACTGACGAAACGAGTTGCTTACTTTTAACAGCTTTTTCACAGAAAAGTAGTTTTCGCACGTTAGCTCCCTTTTCGTAGACCAGGTCACATATATTGCTTCTATCTAGACTATTCTTTGAATTCTTCATTTTGAATTCTTTTGCATATGCTCGGAATAATTTTAAGAAAAATATTAGAAAAAAGAAACAATCATAAGCGATTTTTGACCGTGTTAAATAAATCATGTCAGCCGAAGAACGTTACGTTAAAAAGAAATGTTTCCAGTGTATTTTATATTGTGTATTTTGTGCTGATTTCTTTAGCGTTGTCTTGTAAGTATGAAATTTGTCTGCCTTACAACTTTTTCTCATTTCCAGAATATTTCTCTGAGAAAGTGAGACATCAAAGTGCTTTCGACTTTGCTCTGGTGCTTGGTGATTGTGGTCCCTCTTAGGGTCAGTTTTTCAGTGCACGCCCATGGTTTAAACTCAGTTTAAACGCCCGCTCTGGCTGGATTGAACTAAGATCAGCCAATCAAATGCCAGCCAGTTATTCAGTTTAAACTCAGTTTACTTAATCTAAGTTTAAACCGGCACTGAAAAACTGGCCCTTAGTGACTCTCGTATCTATCGTATAATCATGTGTCCTGCCGCATCTCGGTCAGTTGTTTGCAGGAAAGCGCAAAGAACACTGCATAAGTATGATTGAAACTTGGTTTTATTAGCATGGGCTGTCCGTTAGCCCAACCAAAACTAGTGTTGTGCTCTGCACTCGAAGTGCCGGTTGGATGCTTCAATTCCCATTACACTTAAAGCAGTCACAATTCAGATCTCTTCCGAAATTAAGTATTTAGGAGTAATTCTGAAGGCCACACTTGCATAGAGGTCTCACGATGGGCATACGACCTGCAAAGCGTAAAATAAATAAATAAATAAAAAGGTCTTTGGTAAAACATGAGGTCTGTCACCCAAGGGTATCCCATGTATCTACACCTCCATGATCAGACGAATTACCAGTAATGCATCGGTGGTATGGTGAATCAGACTCGCAATCAAAAGCGTCGGAAATCGGCTTGCCAAACTTCAAAGGGCAGGCGCTGTGTGCTGCATGGGAGCTTTCTCTACAAAGCCTGGTACTGCTCTTTATGCTCTACTACGCTTACCAAAACTTTGCACCTCTATACGTAGGGAGGCCTTACAGGCCAACAATAAGCTTGAAATAAATGAAAATGTTGGTGGCAGAGATCGAGACAGAAGAGCGTTTTCAATTAATCACCCTTCTTCTCAATCACTAATTTCTTAGTCGCAGGTTCATGCCAACAATCCTTAGAAAATCGCAGTCTTAAAGGAGAACATTCGACTGGAAAGCGAACAGTTATCACCGGCCACTTGACGGGTATCATCTTTTCCACTTAACAGAAAAAATTATAATCTTTACTGATGGCTCCTAAACTGACAATGGATCAGGATCTGGTGTCTATATCGAACATAATGTTGATGAGCTTCACTTTTCTCTTGGGGAATATGCCTCGGTATTCCTATTCGAAGTATTTGCAATTCCCGAGGGCATGGACTACATGGCGGAAAATAGGTGCACTTAAGACATTGGCCAGCCCTCTAACTATATCAACTCTGGTTCGGCAATGCAAGTCTCGACTAACATTTTTATAGTTGTGGAGTGTGTGTTTAAGTCCCAAAACCCAAAATAAAACGCACTTTGTTTTAGTTG